GTGTACACTGACATCCTGATCGGACTGTTGTCTCGTATCGTCCCTCTTAGAAACAAGGTAACGGACTCTGCTATGTTTCATCTCTTCGGTGTAAAAATCTTGCACTGTGTTTTTATTTAATCCCTGCTTCCACTCTTGACGTCTCTGCAGAAAGGTATGCCCATGAAGCTGCTGGTCATGTCAGCTACTCTGCGAGTGGAGGACTTCACAGACAACACAAAGCTGTTCCGGATACCTCCGCCCGTTATCAAGGTAGACGCTCGCCAGTTCCCGGTCACTATACATTTTAACAAACGCACACCGCTGGAGGATTACACTGGAGAAGTTTTCCAAAAAACCTGCAAGATCCACAGGATGCTGCCTCCAGGTAACATACACATTTATGATATTTAGTTTTAAAATGTATTTTACAATTAAACTAAATTGACCTAAATTGACCAACGATCAAATCAGACAAAGAACATTTGAAGTTATACGATCAGAAGCAGTTTTGTTTTACTCTTTCTCAAATAATTGATATCAGTGTTTCCTCATCTAGGAACATGAGTTATCTAACTGACTGCACATGGGAAGTAACTTAAAGTCTTACATACATACCTTGTCTAACATAGTCTAATATCTTAATAAACTGTCAGATGAATTCAGACTTAATTAACAGATCAATGCAATAATAAAAAGTTTCTCCTTCTCACCTGGTTGAGTGAAGTGGTTTCAGTTGGATCTCACACTTTGTGCATTTTATGCAATAAGTAAGCAGGACAAACTGAAGTTACTGGAGTTAAACCTTCACACACACTCACCACCACCCTCATGCCGTGTCTCTGTCCTTCAGGTGGTATCCTGGTGTTTCTGACCGGTCAGGCAGAGGTTCACAATCTGTGCAGACGACTGAGAAAAGCTTTCCCCTTCAGGAAGAGCAACACAACCACTGGTGAGTGTAACACACACCTGTTTACCCCTCCAACTCCGACATATCTCTGGGTATGTTTTTGTATATTCATGTTTTTGTGTTCAGGTGAAGATGAGGAAGCCGACACCTCAGAGGCGATGAGGAAGTTTAAGAAGGCCAAGCAGAAGAAGACAGTCGTAAGTCTTAGTAAATGCCACTAAAAACATCTTTAAAGTCTTGTTTTTGTGACATTATTAAAGTCGCTCCCCTCTTCCACAGATATTTATTGTGTACACGTTTTAATCTCTGTCTATAGTCTCTTCCCCGAATCGACCTGGATAACTACTCTGCCCTCCCAGTGGATGAAGGGGACGAGGACAGAGAGGCCGGGATCGGAGACGAGGAAGATGAAGGCTCTGACCTGGAAATCGGAGATGATCCCGTCAATGCAGGCAAGCTACTCCCAATGAATAATTCTTCATATCCAGCTGGATGTGTTTCAGATAAATGCTCTTACTAATCCTGCTCTGTGTTTCGTTTCTGTAGAGGAGAAGGCTGACCCCTCTATTCCTCTCTATGTCCTCCCTCTGTACTCCCTGCTGGCTCCAGAGCAACAGGCGAAGGTGAGATTTATGTCTTAAAATGTTTCTCCATGAGAAGAACTAGGGTTGTTTTTGCAATAAGATAACATTTTTAAAGATCATCAAAACTCACATTGTGACAGTTTGTATCTGCACTGTACAGGTTCACATAAGTTTCCTGGAAAGAGTTTTAAGATTTGGAAAATTACAAAGGCTAGAAAAAAGGGGTGTTTTTAAAAGGTGGCCTTGGTGTGGATGTGGGTTCATTTGTATCACCTGCTTGGTTCTAGTTTGTAGCCCAAAGCAGTTTATCGTGATATTATCATGTTACCACCACTACCAGCTACTAGCTATGACTAATGAGAGATAATAGCTATGTTTATGTTAGTTATTGTGTAAATCAGATGTAATAACAAGACAGTGGTGGTTAGATAATCTGAACTCACAGTAAACTCAAGGTGACAATACATTTACTATGATATATATGATGTCTCCTGACTGTAGGTGTTCAGGCCTCCTCCACCTGGGACCCGTCTGTGTGTGGTAGCCACCAACGTGGCTGAAACATCTCTGACCATCCCCGGCATCAAGTACGTGGTTGACTGCGGTCGAGTTAAGAAACGTTTCTACGACCGAGTGACCGGAGTGTCATCCTTCAAGGTCACATGGACCTCACAGGCCTCAGCCAATCAGAGGGCAGGTAGAGCGGGACGAACAGAGCCGGGACACTGCTACAGGTCAGGACTTTGAAAGGTGACACTGTAATTACATAATTGTTTTCTTTATATTCACAGATGTTTGTTTTCTTTCTGTCCCTGTAAGGTTGTACTCATCTGCAGTGTTTGGAGACTTCAGTTTGTTTTCAGAGGCAGAGATCACTCGCAGACCTGTGGAAGACCTGGTTTTACAGATGAAGGACCTCAACATAGATAAGGTCAGAAAAAGTGAACTAAAACTTGCCTGCTGGCTTCTGAGTGAAATCCTGCTGCATACAAGAAAATAAATAGTATTCTCAATAAACTGGCTTCATATTTCATCTGTTTGTGCAGGTGGTCAATTTTCCCTTTCCCACGTCTCCCTCTGCTGAGGCTCTTGTTGCATCAGAGCAGTTGTTAGTCTCGTTGGGAGCTCTGAAAGAGCCGCCCCGCACTGGAAGGTAACGTCTGACATTGAGTTTCCCTCTCTTCACCTGCCTTGGCTCACATGGATTACATAATTATTTATAAGAACAGTTTGGGTCATGTTGAGGGAACTTTTAGACCCTTTTATGTTATATTTATATTTACATTTTCATGTTCACACTGTAGATTGTTAATCTTTTTCTTCAAAGGGTGAAAGAGATGGAGCGAGCGAGGCTGAGCTGTCCCATCACGCCCCTGGGCAGAGCAATGGCTTCCTTCCCTGTGGCACCACGTTATGCTAAAATGTTAGCTCTCGGTAAGCAGCAGGATTGCTTGCCCTACGTCATAGCTGTGGTAGCGGCCATGACTGTACGGGAGATCTTCGAAGACCTTGACAGGTGAGGACACATGTTTGATCTAATGATATAAAACCTTGAATCAGGGCTTTCAGGGCTTTGTTTGTAGAAATATCCAACGCCTTTAAAGTTTAGTGGTCTTCTCATGCTGCACACATTATGTTTTTATAATTGTGAAACACTTTTGTTTCTCCTCAGACCTGCAGGTAGTGAAGATGAGAACTCCAAGCTCACCCAGCGTCGAGCTCGGCTGACCCAAATGAGGAGGTTGTGGGCCGGGCAAGGAGCGTCACTCCTGCTGGGGGATCTCATGGTCATGCTGGGTAATCTTACTATTTGTTCAGGTTACAATACTGGACAGTTTTGTACTTTAAACTGTAGCAGAGTCTGTTCGGTCATATGTTGACCTTTTAAGGGTCCCAGGACGTGGCTCCAAAAACATAATTTTCTTCCAGGTTTCAGCATGAAGCAGGTTTTCAGGATGAAACTTAACACTTGATTTGAAAAGGGTCTTACTGAGACTTGAGGAGGGGTTGACTATGGTGCCCCAAAAGGCTACAACGGCAAGATGCTTTAGTAAAAAATGTTGACACTTTACAGGAACAGGGTATAGGGTGGGATTATAGTGACACATTATGCAAAAAAGTAAATTGATGTGGTTATAATATATTTCTATTTACATTTTAACTACAGGTGCTGTTGGTGCTTGTGAATTCGCCGGTTGTACTCCTAAGTTTTGTGAGGAGAACGGCTTGAGGTATAAAGCCATGGTGGAGATCAGGAGGCTCAGAGGACAACTTACTAATGCAGGTCACACACACACACACACACACACACACACACACACACACACACACACACCTATCACATGATGTCCTGCAGAGACAAAACAGAAAAGCATTTGTCTGCTCTCATCCCAGTGAACGCAGTGTGTCCAGAGGTGGGAGCATTTGTGAATCCCAAGATGAGTCCACCGACAGAGCACCAGGTGGTTTGTTTGCGGCAGATTGTTCTGGCCGGACTGGGAGACCATCTTGCAAGGCGCGCACAGGCAGAAGATATACTGGACCCAAAATGGAAGAACGGCTACAAGGTAAGTTGCTCTGAGGACTGGGATTGTGATTTTAGGAGAGTCTACCTTCACTTCACCTCCTCACCTTTATCTGATTTTGTTCACAGACACCTCTTATGGACGAGCCGGTGTTCATTCATCCCACCTCTGCACTGTTCAAAGCGCTGCCTGAGTTTGTGGTCTACCAGGAGATCATGGAGACCACCAAGATGTACATGAAAGGTAAATGAGCTTTGTGTGTTATCTGGTTTGTGCCCTCTGATTTAGAGAGATGTCAAATGTGAAAAAGCTAATTTATTCTTTCTTATAGTAGCAAATTAAGGTTGAATGAAATAGTAAAGGTTTGGTACAGATTCAGGCAAGGCTGGCATTCAGTGTGGCTTCCAGTTTTAAGCCCTCACTCACTCACAGTGACTGGGGAAAATGGTTAATATGAAGTGCAGCTGGGACACAGTACACTTTAATTCTTATCACTGTTAATAAATCGTATTAATATTTAAAAGAATACAGAGACTTTCCAGAGACCCAGTTTGGTCAGACAGATATCTTGTTTTAGACCAGAGGTTTTCAAACTGTGGAGGAGAAATGTGAGACAAAGATACTGCAGAAATGACAAAAACCTGGTGTTGTTGTTTGGCCCGTTCACCAACACAGTCAGCAGTTACAGGCAGCAGTAGTGTTTGGACACAAAGCTTGTGGAGGCATTTAAGATACTTTAAAACCCTTAGTGCCTGATTTCCACATATATGAACACACAGACATGATACACATATTTTTTAAGATTCAGAGTTACTTAAACTTTCCAAGCATTTCAACTCAAAAGGCTGTCACAAGTAAATGTCCATAATCCCCCAAGAATGGACGCCCCCCTTTAACTCCAAAACTTGCCTGAGAATCATCACATTATTAAGTTATCAAGGTAATCCATTGATAGATGTCTGCACAATAAATAATACACTGCAAACAGAAACTACTAATGGCTAATTCAGCAGACTTTTAATGGGCTTTAAATGTAAACAAATATAGGCAAAAAGGGCTCAAGTTTGTTTTGCTCTTACTGAAACAAGATTTGCAGGCTGATGATCTCACCTGGTGAAATGTCTTCCTCCTTGTCTCTGTCAGGTGTGTCAGCAGTAGAAGCAGAGTGGGTCCCCGAGCTTCTGCATCAGTATTGTCATTTCGGCTCCCCTCTGGAGTCGCCGTCACCGTGGTTCTGTTCTTCCACCGGCACCGTCAGATGTCACCGCTCGAGCACCTTCTGTAAGTCTTCTCCGGCTGAGCACCACGGCTCTGTTTGTGCTGAAAGGGAGTCCTCGCCTATTTGTGTAACTGCTGTGTCTCTCCTGCAGTCCGTATAGGTTGGCAGCTCCCAGCAGTGGAGAAGGAATATCCAGACGGCCTGGAGCGTTACAAACTGTTTTCGAGGTTTCTGCTTGAGGGACAGGTACTGCACCAAAACCTGGAAGTTCCCTGATCTCTGTTCTGTCTCCATACAGTAAATAAAAGAGTTATCACCACTGCCCCCAACCCAATACAATGACATCAAGACCAAACATATGACAGACAAACATTACTTTTTGTAAGTTATTCAGATTTTAAACATTTTAAATTAAGTTTAAATGTATCAACAATTCCACACTATTGGAGTTTTTATCTGAATAAACTTTATATATTGTGTTGTTGTTACATCTGCATTGTACTCTGTGTGCCAGGCAAAAAAGAACTTAAGGTAAATATAAGTAAGAAAAATAATCAGAATCTGAAATTCAAACCTGGCACAAACTCCACAAAAGCCATAAAAATGACGCCTGCACCTGACAAGAACACTTAGGTCTTGCATAGTAATGTTTGCTTTGTTTGGTTTACAGGTTTGTGCTAAACTAAAGAAAAACGTTAGCCACCTTCTCTCAAACCCCTCCATCATGCTGAAAACATGGGCAAAGTAAGTTGTTACTCTCACACACATTCCTCAGTTTTTGTCGATAAACAAAGGAACTTGTTTCAAAGAAGAACTTTTCTCTTACCTTTTGTGTCGTTGCTGTGTTAGGCTGCAACCCAGGACGGAGGCTTTGCTGGGAGAGCTGGTGTCAAAGAGAGTTGACTGCAGAGATACCCTCCTCTCTGTCTGGAAAACGGAAGATAAATGTGAGGGTTCAATCTGCTTGACATGACATTGCCTGAGTCTGATTTGATTAGCCTTATTGTCATTTAATCTTGTTGTTTGTTTTATATTTTTCTCCTCCTACAGTTCTGTTGTCTGCATACTGCCAGTGGTTACCTGAAGCCATGCATCAAGAAGTAGCCAAAAGTTGGCCTCCAGTATAACTTACATCTAAAAGAAAGGCAGAAAATGATACAACACACTTGACCACAGAGCTATGTTGACCTACAGATCCATAGAACTCCTCAGAAGGCTTGTTTAGACCTGCTAATTTTTAAAGCGCAACTACAATATCACAACACTGCCTTTACTTCGTTTTGTATTTTATATACTGTATCTATGACTTGTACAGCCTCTTTTCAGGGATCTCTGAGCTTAAACTACGACTTTTAACTTGTTATCAGTGCGCTGCTGTCACTTACGTGTCTGATTTGGTCTTCATAAGACTCATTAAAACTGCGCGGCTCTAAATAATGATGGTGTGTGATTTATTCATGCTGTATGTTGATTAATATTTAAGGGCAGTGTCACTGATTTTCTACATCAGTGTCAGTTTACTTATCAGTGTTATTCAGCGTGTCAACAGAGAAGAAATAACCCTCGGCTTGGGCACACACAGCCGGTAGAGTGGAGTTACAAAAGGCTGACGAGAATATGGCATTGGTGAGACTGAATGTTCATTTTTGACCTTAGAAACAGCAGTCGACAGAACAGTCTAGTCACAGTGTCCATTAAGTAGCTGTTCTGGAGCTTTTGATTGTTTCATTTGATCTTCCTCAGCAGATGGAGGTCGCCCGGTTGTTAAAGTTTTCTGTTTTTCTCTTCCTCTTCTTCAAAGACTCCCCATCCATGTTTGCTTAAAAGTTTAGAAGTTTAGAGAAACAGTAGTTGACAATTCAATCTATCCATTTAGTGAATGAAAGCTCCAAAACACGATATTAATAGACCTTGTGGTGAGATGTCAAATGGTATTAGACATTTTTGGAGTCTGATTAATGCCAAGGGACTAAAAGTTGGTTGCTTCTTCAATTTTGACAATTTAAAACAATTTATCTTGCGAGTCATATCCCTTTTTATCTTTACATACTGAAAACGTAGGACCAGAGCCACTGAGATATAGTTTATCTTATGCCCTAATCAAGGACAAAATTTTGATTTCAGAGGTGGGGGGACAAGTATTTTTAATAAAACTCTTAACTCTTTCAGTTCACTGTGTTTTCTAGTAGTTCTTCTAGTTTTCTATTACTACTTTTAAGTTTACTGTTCCCTTTTTTGGTTTGACTGGTTGTAAAGCATGTAGCAAAACATTATCACCCAATTCTGTGTTTCACCTTGTTAGTCAACTTCACTCCAACTCAGTACCACCAATTTTACACTTATTTTTGGAATATATGGTAAACAGATTTTATTTGAAATGAGTGTAACAGAGAACCACTGTCATTTTTAGGCAGTTATATGGAAGAAAATCCTATTTTTGATGTAAATGAAAAGTGAACAAGGGTCAATTTGAGCCAAAGACCACAGAAGGGTCAACATCATCAACATCATCCAGAGCTTCCAAACACATGTTGTCTTCAATCATTGGCAGAGATAAATTCCTGGCAGAGTTTCTTCCTGTCCAAGGCATCAAGCCTTTCTCGGTTTATGTGACAAACTGCCACATTGTTCAGGCCTTTCTGCTTCATGCAGTTGTGAAGCCAGGTCTTTAACCTCCTCAGTGCGCTGAAACTCCTCTCAGACCGGTGTGCAAGCAAGATGGAGTGACAGCGGGGACGGCCAATCACACAAGAAACAGCAGAGCCAATCGAGGAGCTTGTGGGCGGGTCTAAACGAAGAGAAACAGGCTTCAGCTGGAGCGGCTGTTTTCCGCTTGGTCCTAGTGCTTGACGCGTCTCTGTTTACTATAATAATATATAATATATATTGTTTTTAGACGGTAAAAACTGCAGGGACCAAAACGGCCTTTAGAAAAAGTGCAGGGGACATGTCCCCTGTGTGTCCCCCCCCCAACTTACGTCCGTGGTCCTAATGGCTCTCTGTAGGCTCACCCATGAATTTGCAGGGCACACTCAAAGGGCTGCTGTGATTGGCTAACGTCCGTCGCGACGTCACTTCCTACTGACAGCTCGTACACTTCCGGAAGAAGCAGAAGACAACAGTAGAAAGTCGCAGCTCGATTGCGAATTGTGTTAAAACATAAAACAGACACAGACTTGTTTGAGTCCAGTCTTCCGATGACCGATGACATGGTGAGCAGGACGCTTATTTTAACGTTGACGACACGGGACAAATCAATAGCGACCGTATTTGTGGCCGTTCAAGTTAACGAACAACAACACGACAGCGGCGGAAAGATGCCCTGTCACGACGGATTTAAAGTCCGACATAGACATATCAGTGTGTTTGTTTTATTAATCAGAGTTTTGTGTTTTTGTTCCGCAGTTTTCCTTCCACGTCTTCGACCACCCGATGTCTCGAGGGTTTCAGAACCGGTTCTCCACCCAGTACCGCTGCTACTCGGTGTCGATGCTAGCCGGACCCAACGACCGCTCCGACGTGGAGAAAGGAGGCAAAAGTAACCGCTGTTGTTAGAAATGTTGAAACACAGGAGTTAGATTGTTTGTTTGTTTTGTGTTGGATATACTGAATGATTATAACAAGCTCATTAGAAAGTGTCAAACTTGGTTCATCATCAGTCCTCAGTGTTTTTCTCCAGCAGCCCTGATCAGTCCTTTCCTCTCTTGTTCAATCACTCATATGAACACCCCCCCCCCGACAGTATTTACATTTCTTCCTTTCAAAGGTCTGCAGGGGAATTCATTTAAAAGTGCACACTGATTGTGATGTCACTGGGAACAGGAACTACCGTATCAGTAATCAGACCTGCTTTCTTGTGTTGTCTACTGTTGAATTAGTCAGTTTCTTATGTTGACTTATGTAGAGCTTTGTCTCAATGTCTAGTGCTTACTAGTGCTTATTGTGGATCCAAGTTTGACAAAGGTTCATCAGTTCAAGCTCGTTCCCACTTCTAAATGCCTTTTGATCAAATTTGCCACAGTGTTGACGGGTGCGATAAGTTTTATTGGAGTTTCTCTGTAATTCCCCAGAATAATGGTGGTTTGGCTTTTTGTCATAGATGCACAGGAAAGGTCTATCAGTTAAGCCCATAAATAATAAAAACAAGTGGACACGACTACATCCCTCAACTACCTCCCAGATGTAGGAGTGTGTCAGACTAAAACCATCTACTGATCATCTACTGTTAAAATTCACTTATACCTGTACTTTATGTATTCAGTAACATTTAACTGGCAGGGATGGTGTTGGGATAATCTTGTTTGTTGCCTCAACTAATTTATTTATTTCTATATTTCAGTAATAATGCCACCTTCAGCTCTGGACCAGCTCAGTAAGTGGAAGCTAAATCAACTGTATCTTCATTGTAAAAGTCCTGAATGAACCTCCCATGATTATAACCTTTCTCCTCCTTTTCCTCGTACAGGCCGGCTTAATATCACATATCCAATGCTGTTCAAGCTGACCAACAAGAACTCGGACAGAATGACGCACTGTGGTGTGCTGGAGTTCGTGGCCGATGAGGGAATCTGTTACTTGCCACACTGGGTGAGAAACAGTAACAGGTTTAATGCCGGAGTCACAGAGACTGAGCTGTCTGCTGGAGCACTTAATTATTTGTTGCTTTACTTTGTTTGCTGCAGATGATGCAGAATCTCCTGCTGGAGGAAGGTGGTCTGGTCCAAGTGGAAAGTGTTAACCTTATGGTGGCCACTTACTCAAAGTTCCAGCCGCAGAGCCCCGACTTCCTGGACATTACAAACCCCAAGGCAGTGTAAGAAATATCAGTTAAATGTACCTATTCTTCACACTTTGTGTTTAACTAAAGTGATTAAGTAAGTTGTCACTTTATTACAGACTGGAGAATGCATTGAGAAACTTTGCCTGCTTGACAACTGGCGATGTCATAGCTATCAACTACAATGAAAAGGTAAATTAATTTATTCAAATTGGAATAATATTGGATTATGTTTTTGTCTTAATTTTTGTCCCTGAATACCACTGCTAATAGATTCTGTGTGTTTGTTTCAGATATATGAGCTGCGAGTAATGGAGACTAAGCCAGATAAAGCAGTATCCATCATCGAGTGCGATATGAACGTAAGACCCTTCATATTATCACAGACAACAGTGAATTCATCTGTTGAGTTCACTGCTTTAAATGTGTTGTGACTCTGTTTCTCAGGTGGATTTTGATGCTCCTCTGGGATACAAAGAGCCTGAACGACGTCCTCAGCACCAGGAAGAACCAACAGTAAGGACCAAATCTTAAAGGTACCTGTACATTTTGTGCTCTGAACCATTTGATCAAACAAATATATTCACAGGAAGAAGAAGCAGATCCCAGCAGTTATGCTGACATGGACTTGGGATTCAGGGTGAGTAAATGCTGCTGTGGGTTAGAGACAAATAAATGTCTTCATGACTACTGATAACTGTCATAATTTGAGCTAATGTGACTTCTAATTTGTTTCTTATACTCAGGCTTTCACTGGCTCTGGCAATCGTTTGGATGGTAAAACAAAAGGGATTGAGCCCAGCCCGGCCCCTCTTGACCCAAGTGACATCAAAAGGTGAAAAGATTGTTCAGTATTAGATAGATGTAGACATGAAGTGGCGTAACAATTAGATATCGTAACACAATGGTTTAACTTTTCAACATGATAACTCTGCAACATGCTTTATTAGACAGTAGATGGTAGAGAGGTGACAGGAAATAAGGGGAGAGAGAGATGGGGATTGACGTACAACCCAGGTCTAAGGCTGGACTCAAACTGGGGACTTTGAGGCCACCAGGCCACACTATGTATTTTATGTATTTATTAGTCTGTATTTTAACATCACTGAACATTGAACGCTTCCACCAGTGTTTTAGTCTTGAATGTAAAATCTTAAACTCTAATCTTTCGTCTCACAGAGGCATTCCCAACTATGAATTCAAAGTTGGCAGGATCACCTTCATCAGGAACTCGAGGCCTCTGCCCAGGAAATTTGTGGATGATGTAAGAAAAGTGAAGGATTGTATCGTACATTTGTTAATATTTAGGTTGTATGTTGCAGTATTTACAATTTTAACTACTTTTAAATCTCTTTTTTTAATCCTCTCAGGATGACGCCTTGAACAGATTCATCGCCTTCTCCGGACAAGGACAGTCACTACGCAAGAAGGGAAGAAAGCCTTGAAGGATTTCAAGTGGAGAGACTGGCTAATGTGCACAGACTCAATATATCTATTGTCACCTTCAACAGCAAAGTAAAAAACCTGGCCTTCAGATGCATTGGAGTTTTCTCTCTGTCTCTTTTGAAATGAGAGTGTTGCTGCTGAGTTGTGATTGGATGTAATTAAACCTCTGACGGTAATATCTTGCTCAACAGAAGCTGAGCTGTCAGTTGTAATTTGGTGTTCACAGGTCCAGGGTGACGGATTTGAGCCAGGCATAATAAATTATATCACCACCAACACAAAGAAGTGAAGTATTGTTGTAACGATAGATACAGATTTGAATTACCTTTTAACTTTGAGCATATCCCCCCTTTTCCACAATTGTTCAATTTTTACAATTCACTTTAAATATACTGTTATTCAGACTCCCATTCTTATAAAGCAAATTGGAGCAATAATATCTCTATACTTTTGTTCTTAATTATAAAGAATTTAATTTTATGTTTGAGGTTTTTTTTTTTTTTGAATTATAGGGATAATTTGCAAATGTTTTCCTTTTTTTCTGGTTTATTTATAGACAAATAAAGGACTGTGTTTTGAAATTAAATAATTGTAGCTAATGATTATTTGTCTTAAGCATGTAAATGAATTTTAATGAGACTGGAATATAGAATATGTGTCTATGGTGTTATTATTATAATACTAATAGATAACTGGACAAAAACACAAGGAGCCAAGAATACATGTCCATATTTGACCAAAACAAGTACTTTAAATAAATTTGTCACAATACATTTAGGATGTTTAGTTATTGTGCTCACCTTCAGGCATAGACACTTTTATATTCTTGTTTCATTTTGGTGAGTCTTTTCAAAATAAGTGCTGTGAAATTCTGCGGTAGCGCTTTTATTGTGAAATTAACTCGAGCCGGAAGTGTTTTTCCAGTTAGCTCAGCTCAGCTAGCGATGGACCTGTCTAGAGAAACATCGTGGAGGGTAAATTATCTAAACATTATATTGCAAATTACAAATAACGTCCATGATAAAGTGTCTATTTGCGTTGGCATTCATAGTCCCGAGAAAGGGTAAAGAGTGTCAAATGTAAACAAAATACGTATCAAGGTGATTAGCCGCTAGCTACCGTAACCTTAGCTACCAATGTGCGACCGGGAGGTTTTAATAGAAAGTCTCAGTTATTTATCTGACTCATGATTTGTTTTTAAATCGAGCTAGCAAGCTTAAAAAAAAATAAAAAAACTACATTTAATAATAGATAAATGTAACTGCACATTAGCCACCGAGCAAACTCTGGTTCATCTAAACCACAGTGACCTCAGGGAGGTGCTGTCACACTACTTATTATAGTGTTTCATCCAGATGTAACCTGAGTTGGGTTTAAGTTTAAAAAGTAAATAAAACGAAATAAAACATTATGAAATAAGTAGCTACTCATATGAATAATATACAGAATACATCATCGTCATCTTCAAAACAAGGTTTATTGTTTTGAAATGATTTAATCCCTTAAAATCGTATAAATATCCCACAATAAATTCAACTCCAGGTGTTTTTGTTTCATAACGGCCATTGCTATGCTGCCAATTATAGTTGTATTTATTTTCTATCACCAGTTCTTGGTCATTTAGAGTAAACAGTCTTGAATGAGGGTTTAAACCTTATCCTGCTGCACTCCTCAGGTTGGATGATGATAGGTGTAACCAGGGAAGTTGAAGTGATGCAGTCAATCACCAGACACACAACAATGGAGCGGGGGGGGCAATAATATAATTTGTATACTGATTGTTGTTTCTGTTCGTACAGACACCCCGGTCCTGTGATGATTATTGGAGTGAATACAAACATTGCACTAGCATGTGGAATAATTTTCACCACTACTACACGTACGGCACCTCCCCATCTTGCCAGCAGTGGAAAGAGGACTACCAGAACTGCAAGGAGTGGGAGAAACACAGGGGTGCCCAGGCCAAGGTACAGCTGCAGGAAGTCACACTGTTAAAATAACTAAACTTGTAAATCTGACAGTAACCGAAGTTTCTGAATGTCCTAATGAATACATGTAAACACTTTATATGAAAAGATGTCGTTGAAATGAAATTGTGGATTGGATCTGTATTGCAGGAAGCCTTGCGGACGAGTGAGAGGAACAGAGTGGCGGCACAGAGAAAGTTCACTCCAGTGTGGGAACTGAGGCGGGAGCCTCCCAGAGACTGGCACATGCCCCTGAACCAGGAAAAGACTCAGGACTCGTGAACCGCCACTGTTGACCTGCTGTCTCTGTTCCATAGCGGCCATAGTGAAATGAAGATTCAAGATTCTTGTCACTTGATGGACTTGAACAAAATGCTGGAGAGACTGGTCATCACTCATTGTCATCTCATGTTGTATTCAGTGAGCTGCTGTATGAAAACAGATGTTTGATGGCATTTATTCAACCAGTGAATTACAATATGATCTCTGTGAAGGCAGTATTATTTCTGCCGTTCATAAATAATTAATTCTCCTAAGCTTGTGTAAACTGAAGCACAGAGGCAGATTTCACTCACAGACTCTCTGTAAATGAATTTTAATAGTAATTTCCTTGTTTAATGTAAGATTGGGTCAAATTAGGCAATGGGTACATTTTCATAATGTGAGGATCTGTTGTGCATTGTTTTAAGGGTTGATGCTGCACAATAATGTACTTCAAACTTTATACAGATTATGTTGCATCAAACAGGGGAGTTGGCCTTAGTAAGCCTGTCAACATTTCCCATAACTCTAACCCAATAACCCAAGGCCAAGGTAAATGTGCTGTTTTTGATGCCGTAAATGCTCCATGATGAATATATATTTATGTATATTATTTATGCATTAATATGACAGAATTCAGCTTTACAGTATAAACCCAAACAGAGTTGTGCATTAGCAGTTTTGCCTTATGTACCTTAAATAACAAAATGTTAAAAATTATTCTGAACAAATAAAGCACATTTTTATTATCCATTTTCACCTGTTTTATGCAAAGATGTGACAAAAACAATTCACTGCAGAATTTCCATGAATGCTGTTCCATTTGATAAAGAAATGAAACAATGAGGTGACTGTACAATTCACGAAAAGAAAAAGATGCAGTGTCCTTCACACCTACACGTGCAGGCTGTTTTAAAGAACCATGCACAAACAAAGACATGAAAATAAATGACAATACACACAGGCTTCACCCACAGCCGTTCCCTGTCCATCACTGTGTGTAAACCTTAGTGATGTTGTTGTATTTCCCATCAGGAGCGTAATACGTGGCTTTTGGCGGTGTGTAGGCAAGACCTTCACGAGTGAAAGGAAACAGAAGGGGGTCTGGCTTCAGCGCTGCCTGGTACAGCTCCTCAGACTCTAACTTCAGCTCCTGCAGCGCCTCCCTCTGGGCTTCTAGAGCAAGTTTAACAGCCTTCATTTCGGCCATATGCTGCTCCTGCAAGAACAAAGACAGACAAGCACTTCAAATATAGTCCACTAAGTGCACATGATGGGGAGCACGGGTCAGAGGCAACATTTTTTTTATAAGAGCTTAAGTGATGGAGGTGTGATAGGTAAGTGGTGACCTGTTTGTATCGAGACCAGTCCTTCAGCAGCTTTGCTCGACGCTCGCTTTCTTCAAATGACAGCCTTGGTGGAAAGCGCTGCCTTTGTAAGAGAATAATAAACACCAATTTATAGCACTTCAGAAAGTCAGTGAGCAGCAAGGAAAGAACAAAGGAACAGTAAGTCAAAGACGGACTAAAGATACACAATATATGTATATTAAAATTCGTCATTTAATGTTGCTAAAACATTCTCAGTTTTTACTTCAGCCTAAATGCAAGACGCAATCAGTAAGAATATTAAACTTGACTAAACAATTTGGATAAAGTGGCTATCAAAAGTCTGAGCGCGCCCAAAGAAATGACTTTCACACATCAGATAAAACACAAACTAATGAGTGTTTTGAACTCTGATGTGACCTGAATCTGGATTCAGTCTGGTCCCTGAGTTTGGATTTCCTTCTGTCATGTTATGTAACACAGTGTTTACCTCCTCGGATTAATTCAACTACAAATGACAGTGTGGACAACAGTGAAATGAGCTGTACCTTGTTTTGTCCACGTATTTGGCTTGACTGAAGTCCTCTATCGGGATGAGCTCAGGTGGAATCTTCTCCAGCTTCTTCACCTTTTTTTTTAGCCTGTCTTTTATCAGCTGATCCTTTTTTGGGTCCACTTTCTTCTTCTTTTTGGGCTCCGCTCTTAAATACAAAGTATAGCTCTATGTCAGCGTGTTCAATCACAAGATATATCTTTAAACAGATCTGGGAAATATAATAATATATGAGTATATTATGACATGAAACTCTATATTTTCTGGGAATTTAGTTGTCATAATGATCTAAGAATGAACAACAAATGCCATCATATTATTTTACAGTTCTAGTTAGACTTGGCAGTAACATTAAATGACTGTTTTCTCAACTGAGTTTTCTTAAATTGTGTGTCAAGCAAGGTTGAACACACATTTATGACTTCATCAGTACCATCTTGCTCTGTTTTATGCTTTATCTCATACCCGTGGTGGATTCATTTGTTAGGGGACCTGGTAAATCATTTGTTTTTGGGCTTCTACTAGTCCAGTCCCCTGTGCATTGTTAACAGTACTTCACAACCTCCAAGTCCCCATTAAGTGTGAGCACACACACATATCTAGACACCAATCCATGCTTAAACAACAGCGGCCCCTGGTTTCCTGTTCCACTTTATTTACTGAACTGGTGTTAGACCCATAAGAGAATAAGACTTGAATACACATCCAATAGCCTCAGACACAACAATTTAACTTGGTGTTGACATGATGGGCAGAATAAGTGACAAAGTAATAATCAAATAACTGACAATATGAAATCAGTGAAAAATAAACCAAAGATCATACAGGTTTGGCACAGCGTCCCTATGTGCGACAGGACCACTATATTAGCAGTTAAATGATGGTTCAGTAAAGTTAATATCACAGATGAGTGATCAATCCACCAGGTCTCAGGTGATCATACCTGAGTGGAGCAGATGTCTTCAGAGTCATCACCGGAGCAAACCAAGGACTCTGTGCAGCGTGGCGATGTTCTCCCAACAGGAAGCTGAAAACAAACAACACCCAGCAAACACAATACAGGTCAATGTGGACTGGTGGAGGGTCCGTCGGTGTGTGGACGGATCCAGCAGCACCTGAATAACCTTATCCCGCGTTAGCTCCAGGTAGCAGGCTCCTCGTCGGCTCCCATCGTTCAACACAAACTCACCTCGACGACTGTCCGGACACAGCCCTGCAGAGAGCGCGACACACACACAGCGACATGTTTCCACTGCTCGTTGTTTCCCTTTAACCTCAGGGACAACACGAGTGTTCACATGTAGCATTTAGCTACATAGCCCTTCGCTTGTCCGCTGGCTTTGGGCGTCGCGGGGTGATGACGCTGTAGAACGCGGTCGCACTTTCGCGCAGAAAATATTTTAAAGACTTTTAAATATAAAATAGTTTGTAAATACAATATATATTAATTATTATTAAGACGTTACGAAGCAGTTTTATTTCACCGGTTTAATAATAATGCTTCAGTTTAAATGTATTTGTGATATTTTTGTCGAATCTCATTGGACGAAAGTTGTCGGCTGCATGATTTAGGGGAAAGGTCGCTGCTGTGTCAGGTTGGTTGTTATATTCACCGCCGACTCAAGAGGTGTTACATATCCGTGGAAAGGTTTGATCCTGACACTGCTGGTTTGTTGAATCGACATCATGGCGCTTCTCAGAGGTAAACAAACACTTTTAAGTTCAGCAGCCAGTAAAGCAGACAATACAATACAATACAATACAATACTGCAGCTGTACTGCTTTTAGAGTCATCAATGTCAGGGATAACCTACATTTCTTTCTCTTTGTGTTACAAGTTTAGCATTATCAGTGACCTTTAATGAATGACTTCACTGTAAAGTCGAGTTTATGTAGAGAAAAATATCGGGAGAGTTTTAAATCGATCACAGCGTTAATTAGGCGAAAGGTGACAAGATGGTGTCAAGATTATTAACAGCTGTCTGTCGACCTGTCGATCTATAAGTGCTATTATTTCAGTGGGGGAGAAAGGACTCACCTTCCTTACTCAAGTAAAAGGGCTAATACCACATTATTCAAATACTTGTATAATTTTATTCAAGTAAAAATGTATCAAAAGCAAAAATCAGGACTGCGCAGTGACCTAAATAAGTGTATTGGAGTAAAATGTACCCTCTATCATTTAGTGCAGTATAAGTAAGTAGTATAAAATGGACTAAAGTGCAAGTAACACATACCCAAAAATACTTTAATGTAGTTAGTTCCCACCACTGATAATCCCTTCACGAATACTTCCGCTCTTCTCTCATTTTGTCCATTTAGTTTCTGGTCCACTTGGTGTTTTGGTGCACTTTTCTCATACAAAGTAAAATCTAATAAATTGCACGGAGTCTAGCCCTCCAGCACAAGTCAGGTGTTACAGTAAGGTTGGTCACAAAACAAAAGCTCAGTGCAAAAGCAAAGGCAGTTCAAGGCATCATTCACCTCCTGACATGCACGTACTAGGGGCTGGTCAGAGGTTCAATGTCTGATTAGAAACTTAAAGGCATATCAGCAAGTTTCAAGATAAGTGTCATGCCACCAGTGAGTTGTTTATTATGAAATTATAGGAGCACCTTAATCCAGAGATCTGTAGAGAGAGAGTGAGAGAGAAGGTCAAACGTGCCCCACACACCATAGCTACTAACTGCCTGCACACGGCCCAAGAGGAGAGGTAGAGACCCTGGCGCTGTTGTCTGAAGATTCATTGGAAGCAGTTACAGTTTTCCCTGATTGTCTGTCTGAATAAATCATAAAGGCCACACTGGCTCTTTCTAGGCTTGATTTTGTGCGTGTAAGCAAGCGTGTGACGCAGAGCTTGTGCCACCTCCACCTCCTATTTTCTGAATTTAAGCGCCAAACTATTAAAATGATACATATTTGGTTACATATGAACAATACATTTCTCTACTGTCCCATCTTTGTGTCCCAGGTGCTATTTTTATTGCCCTGGGACAATAGGACATCCTTAATTTCAAGCGCTGCTCCAGTTCGATCCATATGATGTTGTTTTCACTTTTTATACTTTATTTTCTGCATCTCAATGCACTGGCTGTGTCAAAATAGATGACCCAGTACCCCCTGACGCTATGATCTGGCTGTGGCTCTGTGGTGGGTGGTTTGAAGTCCTTGTCACTGTACTAAAATACTCTGTTTCTCTGCAGGTGTATTTATTGTAGCTGCCAAGCGCACTCCGTTCGGTACCTATGGTGGCGTGCTGAAGGATCACAGTGCGACAGACTTGGCTGAACATGCAGCCAAAGCTGCCCTGGCTGCAGGGGGCGTGGCACCAGAACTTGTAAACAGTGTCATCATGGGAAATGTCATGCAGGTGCCTAAAATCCAACAGATCAACAGCCACATTTAACAGATTGCAACTATCACCACATGAAAATACATATGTTATGTTAACATGCTTATTTGTGTTCTTGGTTTCATTTGTCTTTATGTACCCCCCTGATTTCAGAGCTCAGCTGATGCCCCATACATTGCTCGTCATGTGGGTCTGAGGTGTGGTGTTCCCATCCCAGTGCCTGCTCTCACTGTGAACAGACTGTGTGGATCTGGTTTCCAGTCCATCATCAGCGGTGCTCATGTAAGCTCTCCACCAAGAGTAAAAAACATTGACAGAAATACAAATGTAGAATAAGCTATAGTATTGTACTTGCATGCATACTTTATTAGGTACACCTGTACAGTCTAATGCAACTATTCTGCCTACCTTCATGAAAATTGAACATTATGAGCTTCATAAAGATAGATGTTGTATTTAAGTGCATTAGATTGTACAGGTGTACCTAATAAAGTGACTTTGACTGTGTATGTGTCA